AGCTATAGTGAAATGCTTCTAATCATGTAGTTATTAAAAATTTTTTAAAAAAGAATAAAAATAAGATGAAATCCTAAAAAAAAAAAGAAGGAAAGAAAGAAATGGCTAGTGGGATAAAAGCGAATGGTAGGCAAGAGAGAAAAGGTCTTAAATTACTTATCCAAAAAATAAGAATTTCGGAAAGATGGCTTTGGTAATTAGCCTCCGTTGTTACTCAAATAAAACAAGAAAAAATAACAAAAGGGAAATCGACAAAAATATTTCTCAAATAGAGGCAGAAATGTCAGGCTGCCTCTTAAGTACTTTTTCTCCATAACAATGCTAACTGAAAGTGCAAACTGTTTGTCAAAAATGGTAGGTGTGCTAAGTAGCCTGACATGCCTGGGAAGAGGGAGCCTCAACTGCAGATTAAGATTAGCCTATGGGCAGGCATGTCTCTGGGGCATATTCTTGGCTGTTGAGTGATGTGGGAGGGTCCAGCTCACTGTGGGTGGTGCAACCCCTGGGCAAGTGGTCCTGTGTAGTGTAAGAAAACAGGCTAAGCTCAGGCCAGGGGAGGAAGCCAGCAAGCAGTGTTCCACCATGGTCTCTGCTTCACCTCCTGCTTCTAGGATTCCTGCCTTGAGTTCCTGCTCTGACTTTCCTCAGTGATGGATTCTGACCTGAGGTTCTAACATGAAATAAACCCTTTCCTCTTAACTGTAGGGAGAAAAGAAAGTCCTTGGAGATGGAATAGAAGTAAAGGCAAGAGTAGTTAGCATTACAAGTTTAAAAGTCAAAATGTCCATGGGCCTCTTACCAACATACACTGTTCCAAAGGCCAAAAATGTCAAAAGTGTTTGCGAGCGCTTATCTAATCCCTAAAAGATTTTAGGGTTACCTCTTCAGAGGGGGGAATGTTAGAGTAGCAAAAAGCCCCATGAAAAAAAAGAAAGAGTACAGAAAGTTGTCAGGAAAAAGCAATGGGGAGATATATGGGAGGAATTGGAGGGGAGGGAGTGGGTGTGGATTTGATCAAAACACCTTATATGCATGTATGAAATTCTCAATACATTTTTTTACAAAATGAAAAAAAAACACCCTTTCTTCCCCAAGTTGGTTTTGGTCAATGTTTTATCACAGCAACAGAAAGCAAACTAAAACAGTAGACAAAGCAACTGAAAAACTTCCTGAAAAAAAAAAATTCTCCATGTATACATTATATTTAAACATACCCAAATGAGCCATGAATCAATGGTTCCAAAAAGAGCTCTGTTTTCTTCAACAGCCTTTTGAACTTTTCTCACATTGTCAAGCAGCCAACGAAGTTTCACTGCACTGAAGTAAGTGCTAAGTGGAAGGCCTGTCTTGGACTAAAACGGTCATAAAGTTCAGTCGCAAATTATACTTATTAGCTTATCACAAAACCTCTACACCAAAGAACTCAACAAAACACCACATGGTTAGTGGTTCTAAAGGTAACCCCATAATATTTGGAATCAAAATACTGTTTTCCCATGATACAGGAAAGCATGGTCATGAACAAAGATCAGAGCAATTATGCTTGCAGTTCAAAGAGCAACCACGTCGCAAGATAAAGAGCAAATTAAATGACACTGTATCCTCTGATTACACAGTGAAAATGCAATGTTATTTTGCCATAAATTGCTCCAGTCCAAAATTCTACAGTTTATTTTACATCTTATGATAATGTTAGTGATATTTAAACTACTGACAAAGCACATCAAATCATAAATTAATGACCATAACCAGAAAACTATTTTGAACATATAATTTAATAATGTAATGTCTTTGGGTGTATATAGACACATATAGTCAAATAACAGAGTGATAGAAAATTAGTGGAGAACAAATAAAACAGGGTTCAATGACAGGTCCAATTATAGCAACAGAGAATTGCTGCATGTAGGAAAACAGCTGGCTAAAGTCAGCAAATACAATAAGGGGAAGAAATATGGACTGAATAAAGGTTAAAGGAGAAAAATAAAGTTCAAATGTGGTTATCAATATCTCTTGAGAATCGGTGAGGTCCAATTTTTGTTATGATATTAAATATCAAATTTCTTTATAAAGTTCAAGTAAAGTAATTAAGGATTTAATTAAAGTGATATAAAAAGAATACGATTACCTTTCCCTTCTTCTGATCCCTATTCTTTTCACTACTTATCTCACATAACTATGTTTCATAAGAAAACTCAAATCAGTGCTGGTGGGATGTGGTGGTACAGTTTGTAATTGCAGCGCTTGGGAGGCAGGAGGAGGATTGCTCCAAGTTCAAAGTCAGCTTCACATTCACAGTGAGCTCTAGGTCAGCTAGACCTAGATAAATAAAGTGGGACCCTGTCTCAGAAAACATTTTTTCACATTTTAACTCAATTTGCAAGTTAAGAGTGTTAATTCAAGGTTTCTAGCTTGCCTTTGGGAGTGAAGATCAATATTTAGAAATAATGGAAGAAAATAACTTATGAAAATACTATTTGAATTGAAGGGTGATCCTACATGATAACCCAAGATTTTGCAAAGCCATAGTACATAAAATCTTGCTTTTTAAGATGCAGGTAGGAAGTACAAAAGATACCTACAGTGGCAATTGAGAGAAAAATATGCAATCCTTGCAGTCAATTGCAGACAGGTGGTGGGAGGGAGGGTTATGCAAGGTGACAAAACAAAACAGGATAGCAAATGAAATGGACAAAAGTCTTCAGGACAAGCCTGAAACTGCTTAGGCACGGAAGGGGGTAAGCAGAGGGTGGTTTGGGAGATTTAATGGAATTGTTACAGGAAATGTGATTAATCAGAAACATTAGTTTCAGCTCCAAGAACTAATAATTATGACACTGGCAAATAAAAAGGGAATACCCTGCATCAAAAATAAAAACTGGAAAAGAACGTTTCATATTCTAGAATAACTTGGCCTTGACCTTGTTAAGAATTCTCCCTTCCTTTATCTGAAGAGGAAGATCTATATAAGGATTGAAAATTAAGCAATTCTTATTAGCCTTCTCTGTATGAAGAAAGTAGAAAACGGTCTTCAATAAAGGTTAGAGTATCATCTCCTTTCTCTTTTTCCTTGAATCTAGGTACCTAAAACCTCAAAAGAACCCAGAACTTTCTTTAGTGGACAATAGGAAACAAGAGCTGCAGATTCTGAAAGCAAGGGTCACAGAAAGCACCCTTTGGGGAGCACGGCTCAAGCCACTGGGACACACGGTCATCTCTACCAGCCTGTTACCCTTGGGGTATTTATCATTCCAGTTTCCCCACAGGATAAGAAAAACAGGAAGATGAAGACTTGATTTGGCCCCAGGTATCTGCAGGAAATATTCCATTTTGCCATAAGATATAAGGCCCAGATAGATTTTCTCATGAAATTGGTGAACTTTGTAAAAAATAAACATTCTTAAGAGTATACTTTTTGAAGAGATATCTTACCTTGACAAAGTTATTATTTCCTGGAATTCTTTTACTAAGATTCTCAACGGTAGACTGGGTTCTTAGGTCAAGCCACACTACAGATCAAAATATAATAATATATATATATATAAAGAACTTCATAAAAATGAGAACTTAATGAAATCACTGTCAAGGATAGGAGACTGATTATTTTCCATAAGCAATTTAAATGTTATAGCTTTTAAAGGATAGAAATTAGAAAATTAAAATTGGACATACTGTTAGAAGAAAAATGTATTTACAGGGGAAGATTTAAAGCTTTTATGCAAAATTACAGATCAAGGTCTAGGAACAACACAAACCTTATGAGTTTTATTGTACATTATTTAGAAAAGAGCATAAAATAATATTTGGAATATGAATTTTATAAACACACATGAGTGAAGAGAAGACAGGAGCCAGGCTGGCTTGTTGGCAGCACAACATGCACATCTCAGGATATAGTATCTTAGAAAACTGGTTAGCAGTCTGTGACAAAGGCAAAGTAGAGAAACTGATCCTATTACCGAAGGAATAAAAGATTCAGTCTCTCATGTTTGGGATGCTTATTTACAATAAAATCTTTCAAAGGATGCAAGATCTGAAGTCATTAAAATATTTTTTAAACTCTAGGTGTGGTGGTATAAGCCTTTAATCCCAACATTTGGGAGGCAGAGGCAGGAAGATCTTTGTGAGATTGAGGCCAGCATGGTCTACACAGTTTCAGCTCTGGTGGGGCAACCCTGTGAGACCCTGTGTCAACTAAACAAACAAAAAACAATTTTTTAAAATGACTATTCTTTTCCATACTGGAAATCTCCATTTGATGGGCCACTATAATCTTTACTAATCTACTTTCTGATCCTCAAGCAGAAAATATCTCATTTTGCTTCATGGAAGAAGGCTTGAGGAAGAGAAATCACTCAATACTGCAAAGAAAGTTGTCTAAATAACCAATAGAACCAGCTTCCCCTAAGACTTATATCTTAGATTTAATTTTTAAAAATTTTTAGACACAGGATCTCACTGTGTCTATTTTATCTACCACTTATAGTTTTTAATGTATTAGTAGTAAATGGATATTTTTAGGACGGTAACTACCTCAGATGCCTCCTGAGAAAAAGCTTCAGGACTGCTCTCTATTTACCTTTACTCCAAGGAAGATAATGCACGCAAACATACTACACGTCTCAATTCTGACAGATTCCTACTTTGATTTACTTAACTGTGTTATTCTGTTCTCTTCATTTAAAATTGGCTCATTCTTGTAGTGAACTTTACTTGATTCTTTCTAATTACCTCAAGAGTTCTGTGCTTCATTTGACAGAACTAATTCCCATGAGATTTCAACTGGGGACTTCAGGTCCCAATACTGGTTTTCATGTGTTAAGAGCAGCCAATAAATGATCATGACAGCCAAGAAAATAGGAGGACATCCAAACCATAAAATAGGCAGTCTATAGGTGAGATCTGCATTTGCTGCCCAGCACCTTCTCCTCTTGCCCCCAGGAGCATCATTTCAAAGTTGTTTGGGGAATTCAGCTCTCCGTAGCCCTCAGCCACATGGTTTGTCTACAAGTTCTCTATCACAAACTTCAGGTCTGAGTCTGGACCCTAGGTATTGGTGCAGGAGAGAACAGTCCATTAAATCACCCAAGTGTGGTTTGTGCTAGCTCTGCAACTGCCACTTCCCTCTTCTGAGACTGGCACTGTGTGGCCTAGCCTGCTATTCTCATGAAAGGAGATCTGAGTCTGTCATGTCGGTAGTAATTTCAGAAAAACCAGACCTCATTGAGACCCAGGTGACAATCTAAGTTCAGAATCAATCAGCACCTAAACTATGCTACCAGTGGGTGGCTGGTTCCACTAGCAAAAGAATTTCTTTAAAAATGCTTTCATTTTACTTATTTGAAGTTGAGTTTTCTGTTACCCTGTCATAAAACCCATTAGTCATACCATCAGAGGTGGCAACATCTCCCATACCAAAGAAACAAAGACTATCTGCTTTCACACAGTGACAGGCCTATAGGATTGTGACAAAAGTGGGCTTTTCTCAAGGGCAAGAAATCCTAGCAGATATAATTGGATTAACAGTAGTAACTGGGAAAAGTAGAAGAATTCAATAGAGAAATTTTTAATCTGTGATATGTATAATTAACAAGCACATCTGAACTCTCAGTGTTTTGAACTACAATGAGCTATGAGATTAAAAATCAATTTAGGGGCTGGAGAGATGGCTACCAGTGGTTAAGAGCACTGGCTGCTCTTGCAGAGGACCTGTGTTCGATTCCCAGCACCTACATGGTGGCTAACAACCATCTGTAACCCCAGCTCCAGGAAATCCGACACCCCTTCTGACCTCCACGGGCAATGCACAGCATGGGTGCACCTACCACCATGCAGGCACTACACTTATACACATGAAATAAAATAATGATGACAATAATAGTAATTGTCAATTTAGTTAATTTTGATAACCTATTCTAAAAATTAAATAGGGTAGATTAAGAAGGTAAATATCAGAGTTCAGATCTCTGATATTCAAATCTATTTTCTGATAGTCAAATCTTATTTTCATTACATATAATAAAATAGTTTTGTGAAACCTTTGTTTTAGTTATATGGGTTTACTGAACCATATCATAAATTATATTTCTTATGAAGGAACTTGAACAAATAGATTTGAAATTCACTGACACTTGGCTTTCTAGCTGTTTGTTTGATAATTTAAGCCTCCTGCAACTAGTGTGCTCCCTCTTTCCCTCTGTCTCTCTGACTTGCTGTCCTTGTCTCTTTCCTTCCCCTTCCTTCTCTTCCTTCCTTCTCCTCCATCCCTCTTCCCCCATTCAGAACTGTGAGACATGGAGATGGAACCCAGGGCTTTGCAACTGCCAGGCAAGTGCTGTACCACTGACTCTAAATCTGCAGTCCCTGTTTACTCATATCTTAATGGACACAATACTCACTGGGGAGCTTAAAGATGGGCACCACACCCCACAATTCTGGGACAGTAGGTCTGGGAACAGGGCCTAGAAATTTATGTTTAAATAAATGGCCTGATTTTCAAAAACACTACTAGTCTACACAGCAGTGATTTTTTCTTAGGAAGCACAATAGACCACCAAGAAGACTTTAAAATTATATAGCCATGCCCTCCCTCGCAGGATTCTGGTTCCAAGTTTAGGCCGGGCCTGAGCCTATGCACTTCTGTATACATATTCCAAGTTATTCAACACAATAAGTAATATGTGAGATAACTTGTTTTGTTGGAAATCTTCTTTAGAGTACTAATGTGTTCCATTCACTATTTCAAAAGAAAACTAAAGACTGACAATAAGGTAGCACTATGAGTCCCAGTGGCCCTATAACTTTATTGTTTCTTAGCAAGGACTCTCTATTCCTCATTTGAAAGCTTGTGTTTTGCTTTCAGGTGTGATATCCATAGAGTTTAATTCTTACCACAAAGAACCGAAACAGTGGATGTAAAATCATGAAACCAAGTTCTAGGTTTGGCTTTGCTACCAATAAGCTTTGCGACCTGCGCAAGTTCTTTTTCTCTTTTAAACCCTTCTTGACCTGTATTCCCTAAATAAAAAATAAGGATGCTGGCAGGGACAATGGCTGAAGTCTTTCTCCTTTCATTGTTGTAGGATCAAAGAAGACTGTCATAATATTTACTTTGTTTTATAGCCGAAGATTTCATGGCAATTAGAGTACATGGAATGAATTAGTACAAATGGCAAAGAAAAAGATGTCAGTGGTTGATACACTACCAAAGCAATTCACAAATGTTCAAAATTAATTGAATTAAGAACAAAACAATTAGAAAACTCATTACAGAAACCAAGAAGGCAGAATTAGATTTGCAGAATAAGAGACCAAAAGCCAAAGAGAAGGCCCCAAGCTGGAGGACTAAGCCATTTGTGTAGGTAATTTCTGAGATCAAAAGAAGTGACAGATCCAGATCTGGCAGCAGCAATTTCCCCCAACATGTCTCAGTTGGAAGGCTGGGAAGTGAGCAATAGCCAGAGCACCAATACCTGAGGAAGTACCAGCAGCTGGAACTGAAGAGCCAGAGGGAACAACGGCAACTGGAACTGAAGAGCCAGGAGAAACTGGAGCAGCTGGAGCATTAGGAGAAATAATGGCAATTCATGCTAGAGATGGCCAGGTTCAAGGTCTATGTACTCTTGTTGACCACTTTGGAGATGGTAGATCACTTAGGCAAGTTCATTAGAATGAATGTTTTTCTACACGTACGTGTAGAGAAAGAAACAGAAGAGACATGGAGTGGATGGGGAACAAAGAAAGGCCAGTCTAAATGTCTGCTTCAGTACCATTTTCATTTGGATGAAGACCAGGTCAATATGTGTTTCTTGTTCAGAAGGACTCTTCCCTACCTGGCAGCATACGTGCATCCTAGTTAGAAAAACCACTGAACTGAAATGATGTATGATGCACTACTGGAAGACATCCTTGGGATGTTAAAAAAGAATGTTACCGAACAACATGCCTTGATCCCGGTCATAATCATATGCTGCAGGACATGAAAGAGTTATTTTGGAAAAGCATAATCCCAAGAAAGCACTTTCCTCACAGGGTAGCTGGAGGTAAAATCATTTCCACAGAAAGGAACAGCTTTGTCTAGAGGGAATAGGGAATTGCTAACTCTTAGAGTGATTGGGGAAAATATAGTAGGAAAACAAATGTAGGGAGTACAGAACATTGTACAGCCTCCTCTCAGATTATATGCCTTTTATCCAGACCAAGGAAGTTGGCATTTCAGTGGTCCAGACCATCAAATGAGTAGTTTACAAAAAAATAATAAATATGAATTAAGTCATGTCTAATATATGTATGGTAGATTTAGTTTATTCTAGAAAAAAGTTTTAAGAGTGAACAGAAATGTAGTTGCCCCAGTCTCCATGAGCCAACATTAGTTGAGAGATACAATCACAGCGCAGAAGTCATTATCTTAAGAGAGCTTGAATCATAAACCACACAAATCTACACAATCTTTGGCTACTCATTACAATAGGAAGGAAACAAAATTAAAAAATGGAACAATCACTAGGAATCATCTAACTATGTCAGGTTGGCTAAGCACAAGGCGAATAGTACATCTCCTCTGAAATGGTTTGCCCTGAGTTTCTAGCATGGTGAGATGAAGCAGATACTCTGGGTTACACAAAACACTGTAAGGAAGGGCTGTGAATAGTTATACAAAATGTTATTGGCTTCTTTCCATCCAGTAACATAATAACTGTAGAACAGTAAACTGCTATGTTTCACCAGTGGCCAAAAGTTAAGTCATTAATTAAGCTGGTTAAGAGGTCATATACAAGGAAGAAGGGACTATGCCCCTCAATCAATGACACTGTTCAACAACAGATGAGGCCAAAAGAAAAATGGAGTGTGGGGGAGGTAGGAAAATTAAAAACCATTTCTCTATGTGGGTGGCTATATGTGTGTGTTTGTGTGCACAAATGCACATACATGTAGATGCTGAAATATACTTCAGCTCATAAGTGGGTAAAAGCTAAAATGCCAATGACAGACCTAAGTGTGTGTGATCTGAGTGTACTCATTTCCTCAAGAAAAATGTGTCCTGTATAAATCAATAATTTCATTCAACATTCGTGGATTAAAAAGGCTAACAGCTTATTTAGAACAGTGCTGATGAGGCCCAGTATATGATTTAAGTTTATTAATCCCAGGACTAGGGGGAAAGTCAGGAGGATCACAAGTTCAAGGCCAATCTGGGCTACATGTATCTAGCAAGAAAACAAAACAAACAAAAAATGGTGCCATTATTAGAACTTACTAGAGCCTTATTGTCTACCAGACACGGGTTTAAGTACCCTACTGATCTTGATCTCAAATTTATGTACTTCATCTTTTTTAAATTTCCCCAGTTTAACTGTCACAGGATTAACAAAAAAAAAAAATTGAAAATCTGCAAGGTGTGATTGTGTACACCCCACAGTTTGGGAGCTAAAAGCATGCAGATCTCTGTGAGGTGGAGGAGTCTGATCTACATAGTGAGTTCCAGACTACTGGGGCTACAGGGAGACCCTATCTCAAAAAGATTAGAAAAGGGAGGGGGTCTGAAATTTGTACTTCAAGTCAGAATTCAGAATTAAAGCTCTATAGGAATAGGTAGAACTACAATGTGTTCACAATCTTAAATGGGATATAAGGAGATAGTAAAGATGACTGGAGTTCTCAAAGGTGGAATCTAAGTCAGTTTCTTTGTATGAAACAAGTTAGTGTTAAAGAATTCAGTGAAGGGCTGGAGAGATGGCTCAGCAGTTAAGAGCACTGGCTGCCCTTGTCAAGGACCTGGGTTCTGTTCTCAGAACCCACATGGAAGCTAACAATTGTCTGTAACTCCAGTTCCAGGGGAATTCAACCCCGTCTTCTGACCTCCGAGGGTACTGCATGATACAGGTGTACTTAAATACATACAGGCAATATACTTGTACACATAAAAATAATAAAATATTTTTTTCTTTTTTTTATTTTTGGTCTTTTTGAGACATGATCTTCCTATATCTCCAGCTGGCCTGCAACTCACTATGTAGATCAGGTTAGCCTTGAATTCACAGAGGCCTGCCTCTGCCTCCCAAATGCTGGGACTAAAGGCATATTTCACCATGCCTGGCTTTAAAATAATAAATAAAATATTTTTAAAAAAGAATCCACTGAGCAAAATATGGCAGTGCTTCTTTACTCAGGACTCATAGATCTGTTAACATTTTCAAAGAACTGTCTAATAGAAAATAAGAAATAATTCAAAGCTTGATAGGACTGAATACTGTTGTTTTTATAAAAAAAAATTTTAAATCTAGTTTCCAGTGCCAGACATGGCAGTGGATGCCTTTAATCCCAGCACTTGGGGGGGAGAGGCAGAGGGAGGTGAATCTCTGTGAGACTGAAGTCAACCTGGTCTACATAGTGAGTTCGAGGTCAGCTGGGGTGACAGGGAGACCCTGTCTCAAAAAGTCCCCCAAAAAATCCAGTTTCCAAAGAAACAATTAGAAAAAAAAAATCCCACACAGGGCTGGAAAGATGGCTCAGCAGTTGAGGGCACCAGATGCTCTTGCAGAGGACCCGGATTTGGTTCTCAGCACCCACATGGTGACTGTCAACCATCTGTAATTCAAATTCCAGGGGATCTAATACCCTGTGCTGGCTCCTGTGGGCATTGTACAACATGGGTACACTTACATACATGCAGGCAAAACACTCAT